TTGCTGTAGTTCTTACGTTTCCGACCATTGTGCTCCACAGGATATTTGCAGAACTTCTCAAAATTGGGAAAAAAATTAGAGAACTCTACTGAATCTTCCGTACTCAGGAATATTCGAAAGATCTCAGAACATCCAGTCACTCCAACTTCAAAGCAAAACTCGAGGAGAGTTTACCGCATGTGCGGTCGTAGAGCTTGCATGCACTGTTGTAAAAAAAACTAAAATCCGCTGATTCAGAAAAATGTAGGTTCGGTTTTGTGTTCCGCTTACTTACCCAAGAGAATGAAAGAGAGGAGGGGAGGGGCAGAAAGACACATTGACAGCTTAGAAGCAGGGCCCGCAATGTCGTTCATGGGTAGTGCGGTTCGAGGGCGAATGACAATTTGCAAAGCGATCAAGAAAGGAAAGAAAAAACGTCAAAGGAGCTTCAGGTAGGACTGCTGCTTGTCCTAAGCATTATAAGAATATTATATGAAGTCCCCCTGCAGCGGCCTCGGTCTCCTTATTCGTACTTCTTCCCGGGTGTGTAGCAACAGAATCGTCCGGTGCAGCTGGTGGGCGTGGCCTGCGACATCCTTGCGGCGAGAGGACAAATCTTGCGTCTGGCCGTTTGAATAGGGATATTGAAGGGACGGTAAAGATTCCCCCAGATTGAGTCTTGTGTTCAGTTACGGTCAAGTTCTTAGTTTTTGCTTTGTTTTTCCATAGAGAATGAAAAAGTTCATTAGAGCATGAATTCATTAGGGTCTTTAACGTTTGCTCTGGTGTGTCATCTTTTACAGCAGCTCACAGGAAAACTTGACCATTCATCTATCAATGTTGACGCTGACGACTGCGCGAATCATGTGAACCACATAAACATAGGGAGAATAACTGCCTTATTTGATTTCTTTTGTATTTGTTTATTTCCTGAAGTTGCGTCTATGGATCCGCCAAACAATTGTGTGTTACTATCAAGAGAAACATCGTTAGATTTTCAATTATTGATGGAATCTGGTAAACGTTGCGGATGTACGCTGTAGTAGATCATTGCTCCAATCGCAAAGCTATCGGCTAGCAAATGCACGTGAGCTGCTGAGTCATTCGCCGCGCGACGCGCCGCGTGCCGCTGCCCCGGACGATTCTGTTGCACGTCTTCCCGTTTTTTCCTTTCTCTATGCCAGACTTTGTGGGTTTGTCGAACTGAGCTTTCGTGCTTCGGCGCGAGCACTTCGAGGAGTGGCTGCTGGATTTCAAGGATGTCAAACGGACACCTGAACGCACGCCAGAACAGATGAAGAGACTGCGAGGAGTAAGAATTACGGAAAAAGACTCCCTACACAGTTAGTTGACAGATTGATATACAATTATCTTTTTCTGAACAGAGAGACCAACCATGTCCTTCTACTACTCCTGCGCGAGGTGCTGAGTATCTGCGAAATGAGCTCTTGTTTTGCTTGATAACGCGCACATATGGTTAGCCCTCATGTTCGAGAGAGGCGTGCGACAGGTAAGAGTTGTTTTATTCCCCTCCGAGGGTGAAGTCCTACGGTTCAATTTACAGTAAATGTGGTCTCGGCTTGTGGACCGTCAACAGACAGACAGACAGGAACTCACCACCACTATGGAAAAAACCGGGAAAATTTTGGAAGAAAGCTGAAATGAAACGATAAATCCTGAGCGAACTATTAGCTACATAATTGAAAAATTCATAATTCGGTTTCAAAAGAGCCCGGAGAGTGGAAAATGTGGCAAACGATGGGAAATTAGTTGACGGAACGAAGTGAGTGAGACACACCCACTATGGGCGGGGCGTGCTGTAGGTGGCGGTGCTTTGGCTACGAAAAACCTTAAAATTCATGAAATTCGGTTCCAAGAAAGGTCCGGAGAGTAGGGGGAAAAGGGAAACTGTAGAGAATGAATAGGACGTGTGAGGAAATCACACTGCTGTGAACGTGGCTCGAGTCAGAATTTCGTATTGGCATTAGCAGTAACTGCATTGGACGAAGCTTCGGTCACAGTGCTAAATACCTCCTCTACAGCTTGGCGAACTATCACTTCTTGCAAATATACAGCCAGTTTCCTTGTGATAATTGAATAGCCTACAGGGGAAGGAAGCAAAAAAGTCACTTTTCTTCATTGGCTTTCGTGGCGCTATATTATGCTTTATAAAATCTAATCGGACATTTCTACCACAATATTAAAAAGCATATTAAATACTATTATAAAACTCCGTCATTAACCTTCTAGACGAGCGCCATCGAGAGATTCTGGCACGCGACGCGATGTGGTGCCTGAGATCAGCGAGATAGTCGATTTCTCCGCCACCGTAGACCACCCTATTGAACTCCGCCCGAACCGGGTAACTTGAGAGGGATTCAGTCAGGTGACCTACTTGGATATTCCATCTTCTTAGGTACTCAGCCCCCTTCCATTCCAAGTAGGCAATGTTTCTCCAACGCCCTCGATTCCACGTGGTGGCACCCAATGCTGTAGCAGTACAAAGTTTCCAAGAAGGTAGGGGCGGCGACATGTGGGGAGGATATTCTTCTCGAGTTGCTCGATGTAACCGCCAGCGCTCACCTTCAGTCCGGGGTCCACGAAGAAAATATTGGTCTTTCCATTCCAGGTACTCCGGTCCATACCATCAACCCGCGCCTTGGCGACTGCGGTGAAGATGATGTCCTAGACCGTGGCGACGTTGTCGGAGCTGCTATGTTGGTTAGGTCCATTAGATCGAGAGATCGGTCCTCTAGGTAGCTACCCATGGGTGACTTCCAACACTAGAAGTTTCGCAGCTGTTGGAGTGTGACATGAATTCCAAAGGTCTTCTCCAGTCAGGCTGCGACTGGAGATGACCTCATATTTTGGTGTACATGAAGGTGATGGGCGAGAGCCAGCTCCTGCTTATCGAGGAACATCTTGGGTATCTTCCGCCCTGGTACTCGTATCCACGTCTTCTCTCTGGTGGCTCCTTTTTTCGCTCCTGCCCCCCTCGTTGTATTGTACACTAACGAAAGCCGCAAGCAGCCGAACAGAAAATGAAAATACTGCCTAACGGCTTACAGAGTACCTAACACATCACAGCATCTCAGAAAATCTTTAGGCAGGATATTGAAAAAGTTAGAGAGCTGCAATACTAGGATTGGGGGGGGGGGGGGGGTATATACGGTGAAAGAAAGGTAAAATATGCAAATTTTCGAAAAAAAAAAACAGGCGCTCCGACTGGCACTCTACTTTGGGAAATGTGGGGGAGGGTCACCCACACGCAGAAAGAGGTATCGGCCGCGAAGCGCAGGATCCGGCTGGCCGCTCTATTTTTGGGAAATGTGTGGGGGAGAGTCACTCCACACACGCAGAAGGAGGATGTCTGTATTACTGAGATTCATCACAAATAAGAAACTAGGATCAATATGTAATTAGTTTGAGAATCACCATAGGATCGCTAGTGTGTACCGTAACCTTCTAGGCATCGCTATCAAACAGAAGCAAAACATACTGCATTCCACTTTACTGAAATGTAAGGCAAAGGGAGAAACTTGCCGTCGGCTATCATCTGATCGTTGTTGGGAGCGATTGAGGGTGGATCGAAAGCGATTTGTGATTCTATCCGATTTAGGCTAATCGTAGGGTAGTCGTCGATAGTATGTACAAAGGACAACACTGTCTGGAGCGCAGAAGTTGGGAAATCGTCCAAAATCGTAATAGGTTCATCTCACCCACGACTAACCAGCCAAAAGGTTCGACCACACACGAAATGAACGACACAACAACAGAAGTGCGCGTCAGCCAAACTGGTAAAAAATAAGCTGCTGTCAGATATTCAAGGCTTTTGTCTTCTACCATGAGAGCAATTATGAGTTCAAGAAAAGGGGTGGAGGGAGGTTTCGATATTATAACTGCTATCAAATGCCGCCGCACGAAAGTCGCTCCGAAAGTTATCACAAGAATGCTGAATTGTGGACAAAAGACACACCCCAAGCGGAACTCGGACCCGCATCTTCCGCTGACTGGACGAGTACGTTATCCATTACGCCCTCGGGCCGATCATATACTCTCTCTTCAATGGCTTTTGTGCCATGGCAAAAGGGACTGTATTTTGTATTATTCGTAGTGCCTGTATTACCATTCCACGTTAACTCTCGCCTTCCAAAGGAAATAGCAAAATTAGTTGCATAAACATACGGTGAAACCAAGCGGGCACATACCTCTGATAAGCGAAGAAATACCCAAACGGTTCACGAACATGTGATCTCGTTCTTCGGAACCTGTGAACAGCTCAGCAAATACATAGATATCAGGACGAATTTCACGAGCTGCCAGCAGCAAATACTGAAAAATATATTGTAAAGCACAATTCAAACTTCATGCTTCGTTGTTATAATGGGATAATATTTAACCCAGTGCATTGAGGGCACTTTATGTCGCCTGGAAGTAGACTGATAGGGATTACCGAAGTCTGAAAGTCATTAAGAACGCTCACTGTCTTAGCGCGCGCGTTAGAGGCCCGATAGGCGCTGTAAGCCTTTAGTATCTGCGTAAGTTTACTGTGGGTTGTACGATCCCCTTGTGCTGTGTGGCCATAGAGGACTACTGTGGAACCTACCCCTAAACATTACTTTGTCGCTTGTCTGGCACTATTACAACACAGAAAGCCTTGACATGACTCGATCGCCTGGTTTTCAGGCCGCATTTGACACAAACCTCATACATTGTGTAATCTGCTTCTACCAGAAAAGGATCCTGCTCACAACATTTTATATCACAGATCAAAAATAGAATAAAAAGTAGAAAAAAGGTGCTCACCTCAGCAACATGGATAGGAGTACTGTGAGCGTTATCGATGCGAAGACCATGGAACATACGAGCACATTTCTCACTGAAAACTTCCATAGCGATAAACTTAAAACTTTACATAGGTTGGATGAGGGGAGGGGGCATTCGGAAGACTTTCATGCAAAAGTGGACCGCTGCAGTAAACATCGCGACTTTTGCTTTGGGAAAGAGGAGTCGTACTGATACCGCCGTTTCACCGGTTCCGACGATCTACCTCCGAGGAATGGAACATCAGAACGAGTGAATCAGTGCTTTACTGCACGAAAGGGCTCGATGCTGTT